TAGAAATAGTAGCATAAGTAATGATTTTTGTTTTACCTAATCCAGCAAAAAAACCATTAAAACAAAAGCTAAAAACAGCAAATGGCACTATAAAAAACAAAACGTCTAAATAGGTTTGAACATCTGCTTGTATTGCCTTTGATTGAATTAAACTAAGCACAATATGGTCTGTAAAAAAATACAAAAACAACATCATAATGGCTGATAAACCAATTGCCAATAAGCATAAATTATCAAAATCAACTCCAATTATATCTATTCGTTGCTCGCCCGAGTGTCTGGCTATAATCACTTGACAGCCTCTTGCAAATCCACCAGCAATAAAAGTGATATTGAAAAAAAAGACACCAGCTAAAGTTACAGCATCTAATGCTATCTTATTATAGTTTCCAAGATAGGCAGTATCTATAATCTGATTGATACTATGTGCCAAGCTACCAATAATAATTGGATAGCTTATTTGCCATATTTCTTTATATGTACCTTTAATAAGCATTATAGATAAATAAATTTATTTTTAATTTTATCGTTGTCCAAAGATTAATCATTATAATCATTTGTCAACGAAGTCCTTCACATTTTCCATTGGTCGCCCCAAAGTCTGTTGCCACCATCTACGTATAATGTTTCGCCATTAATATAAGTAGCCATTGGCGAAGAAAGAAACAACACAGACCAACCTACTTCTTCCATGCTACCCATTCTTTTATTTGGAATAGAATCTGTAATGCCTTTTAAAATAGCTGGAGGATAAGTATCTAATCCAGAAGACAAAATAATTCCTGGTGCAACGGCATTAATTCTAATATTATATCTTGTCCATTCTATAGCTAAGGTTTTGGTCATATTATCCACGCCAGCTCGTGCTGCACCTGTGTGCACCATACCTGGAAAACCTCTAAAAATATTAGCAATAATATTTACAACATTACCTTCATTTTGTGGAATAAAAAAAGTTTTAGCCATAATTTGAGTTACATAAAAAGTACCCATCAAATTATTAGTAACGACAGCTTTAAATCCATTGTACGAAATATTTTCTGCTGCCGCAGGAAATTGTCCACCAGCATTATTAACAAGAATATCTAATCTTCCACTCTCCTCTTTTATTTGATTAGCCAAAGCTTCAATTTGCTCTGGCTCTCTAATGTCTGCAATTGCTGCTTTTACATTGCCAAATTCTTTTAGCTCTTGTATTGCTTTATCTATTTTTTCTTTATTTCTTGAGGCAATATACACTGTAGCACCCAACTCTAAGTATTGTTTGGCAATCACATATCCAATTCCACTTCCACCACCAGTTACTAAAACAATTTTGTCTTTAAATAAATTTGATTGAAACATAATTTTTTTTGTAAAGATAAATAAATTGTACAGAACAATATTAATTTTACCTAAAAATTTGGAAATTACAGATACACATCGTAATATTGCAATATAGTTAT